TAATATTGCTGGAAAACTAGGATTTGATGTGGGCAACTCTTCCTCAGGTGGAGAAACAAATGCTGCCGCAAGAACTCGTGTCTATCATAGGAAAACAAAATCTACCAAAGTAGAGATTGGGTATACTAAACATGACGGTGTCGCTGCAGTCCAAATGGAGGTACTTGTAAATGAATCTCCTTGTTGGGCGGCAAAAGCAATTGTAACAGATGTGAATCTTCAAGCGAAGTTTAGAGTGGGAAAGGTTCATGACGCATATTCGCATTTTGTGGGTGCTTTTTTCTAAATGCACGTGCGTTTATTTGGAAGCGATTTGCGGTTAATGTCCATACTCCTTAATTTAGTAGTTGATCGACTTTTTCATGTTCAATCAATGACATGTAGCTAGGTTGTGGAGACTAGTCAATCAGTTAGGCAGGCAGGAAGGCAGTTGATCTACATTTTCATGTATCAACCAATCACATGTAGCTTGTTTGTGGAGACCAGTTAGTCAGTAGTTCAGTCAGTCAGGCAAACAGACAGGCACGCAGCTGGCCAGGCAGTAAATTTTTGGGCTTGACAGTCTGGCAAGCAGTGCTTCACTCACGCAGGTATATGTGAGTTTGATGGTCAGACAGACAATGTGTCAGCTATTCACTCAGTCAGTCAATCAATTAGTTTTTCATTTAATCAGCCTTAAAGGCAGGCATCCAGCAAACAAATCAATCAGTCAGTAAATCATCCAGCTACATGTAGTGTGCCAGATGGTTACTCGGCTGGTCAGTTGGCTCTCAAGGCACGCCTCCATCAGCGAAAAGAAAAATCACCAAGATGCAGGAATATTGATCAATCATAACTTAACAATCAGTTAGTCAGCGAGTGAGTCGGTCGGTCTCCTGGTCATTCAGTCAGTCAATGACTCAATCAGGCTGGCAGTCGGTCAGGTGGTCTTTTATTCGTTCAGTTTGTCAATCAGCTTGTCAGCAAGTTGTCTTAATCTCTTGGTTTTACCAAACAGGAATCAGAAGAACAAGCAAAGCAGGACTCTGGAAAAGCCGCATTCTCTGGAGCATATCAGAATGATGTGAGTATTAACTTTTTTTAATGGGAAAAAAATTTAGCCGATTCTCTTCTCTCTGTTGGCTCGAAACGTCAGCTTTGAAACTCTTTACGATAGTCAATTTACGTTATCAACTCAGTTGATAATACTAAATTACTTCGTGGCTGTAGTTTACTTGTAGCTGGGAGTAAAGAGGTTATATTTTCCACATTTTTGGCTTAATTCATTCCTTTTGCCCTAAGAAACAAGGCAGCTAATCTTTCCTACCCTCAATAAAGTCTGGCTCCTTATAATCTTTCAGATCATCTCAGTTTCCCGAGTGACTATGACATAATTACAATTAAGGCATTGAGAACATCGTCATTATAAAAAACCAACATCTTCTGCAACTGTTAGGCGATTGAAAATATTGAGACATATTGTTTCTTTCGATCGCCATATAACTGAATTTTGAAATAACTTTTTTTAATGCGTTTTCTCTTTTCTTGTTTGTTTTTCAATCGTTTTATTTTGTATTTTATCAAAGGAGGTGATGTTACTTGGCGAGGATGGACAAAGCAGTTTCTGATATTTTTAGCTTTGTATTTTGAAACCTGTGAGAGTACAAAAATGTAGTAAAAGATTTTTTAAGTAGATTTAAAGTGACTTTGTGGATTTTGTGGTGAAGTTCATCATTACGTCATGTGCTATTGAGCTCTTAATTCAAATGTATGTGAAAGAATTGTCTAACTATGCGCAGATCAATCGTCACGGCATTAATTACTTTCAGAACATTACGGCGGCGTGTTAAAGGATTCGCTTTCCATTGAGGAAAGGGACAAAGTTAAAGGAATTGGGATGAAGACCAGCAAATATGTTTTTTTATGGTCAGCAGTCGTTCATTCCTTTCTTATGCTCCATCGCAAGAACTACATTTCTGTTCTATATAACAGTTGCTGCAACTTTTTCCTTTGTCTTCCAAACCGAGAACACCAGTCAGAAAATTAGACGGTAGGGTTTCTGGTATCAAATAATGTTTTTCGGAAATGAAACTACGAAACACACCAAAAACGACTAACATAATGCTAAGTACGTCAAAATACTGATCTACATGTACCCGACTTGACATTAGTTATAATACATTACGTTAATGTCGCTCCTTACGAAGTTCCACTGAAAACAGATTGTAGGAAAGATCATTAACTCGTGGTTTTGGTTTTCAGCGATAAAACAAATATTTCACAATTTTCTGTTTTTTCTCAGGTTCAATGTTCTATAGCCCATGTCCTCCTAAGTTGGCTAGCTATTTCTCATTTTCATCTTTAAATAACACTACAGTGGGCCGTAACTTTTCCTAGCTTCTCACACATTTCTCCACTTTGTTACAAGTGATCACTCTCTGATTCAATTAGAGCGTGAATTGCCTCAGAGATGCACTCGACTCTCACAAAAATTAGGCGCAGAATTTTTTTCGAGGACTTGATACACAATGTCATGAACCCTCAAATGGGCTTCACCTGGCAAAGTATGAGTACCCAAAGGCTGTTCGTGACTGTGGGGGTGTGCAACATGACCCTTAGTTGGGGTCTATAGGAAAAAAATTCTTCATTCACTGAGGAACATACTTGATTACCATTGTCGGGCTTTCGTAAAGGGGGAGGGAGGGGGAGCGTTGTGCTCCATTGTGTATGTGGTAAGGGAATTGGATGGAGAAGGATCTTGTGGCCTTAACGCATAAACTTTAGTAGGACATACATGGATGGTCTTTGAAGCAAGTTCTGAACTCAAATTGGTTACTGATGGGGTTGTAACCGTCACCACTTTTGTTGTTTTTGTTGATACTGATGCAGGCGTGGGCGAGGTGACGTTTGCACCCTCAGTATAAACGGTAAAACACAACGTTATAGCCAAAGCAAGAGTAAAAATCTGAAAGGAGAGAGGTCTTGTGGCTTCGTTCAAAGAGACCACCTCTGCGTATGAGATCCTAGGCTGATACTATTCAGTGAAATTACAAACAAAAACTTCCACAAGACAATACATAGTTCAACTCTTAACAACATGAACAACAAAGCTTTCACACTCGTGGCAAATTAGTCAATAATAACCCACTAGAAGCCTGTTATGGCCTTCCCTTTGTTAGCTACTGTCACTGTCCTCACGCTAAGCTGAGCAAACTTTGCGAGGCGCTTCTATTGTTGTTGTCATACTGGCAGTGGTGTCTCGACGACGGCGCATACAGGAGAACAACGGAGTCACCCCTCCCGCCTAGTTCAAAAAGATGTCTAAATGGCATACCTCAAAACGTCTACAGTAGATGACTGCGAGTAGCTGATGAGTGACCACGAAAATTAGTACTGTGTGTCACGCTGATGGTTAGAAGTTTGTTGCGAAGTTTCTAACTGTTTTCCTTCAACTTAAATCCTTGAGGAACTGATAGAATGGTATTCCTGGGGCATATCTTCCTTAACCCTTTTAACTCACAGATCAAATTTGTAATTCTCTTTTCAGTCAACCATACAATTCTTGTAATGTTAGTTCAAAGAATTTAGTATTGGATCAACTAATTATTCCCAAATTAATATTTTTCTTTATTCTCATCACTTATCTAGTTGATATCGTATTGATATGGTTAGGAGAAATTCTGTCTTGGTCACTTATGGGAGTTAAAGGGTTAACTCGCACAAT